ATCAAGTAATAATTCAGCGGACACTGAAGACCTCAAGTCCGCTGAGTGTCGTTTAAATTTGCAGTCGAGGAAAAAGCAGATGTTGCAGGATCAGCAGGATTCTGGAGATGTGGACAATCTCTTTTAAGATGACCAGTCTGCTTGCAATTGAAACATGCTTTGCAATCCCTACCCCAATGACCATGTTTACCACATCGAGGGCACGGGTTGCGTGGTGTACCAGCAAAGTTGCGATTGTTGTTAGAGCGTGGCGCCACATGTCCTAGTATCTCATCCATTATCTGTACAAGTAACTTGATACTGTCTTCAAGAGAAAAATCGCTTTGCTGATTAACTACATTACCAGTATTACTCTGTTTCACTGCTGCAATGCGCGGGCTGGGTTTCCTCGGGATCAGCAACTTTTCCTGGTTCTATCTTGCCAGAAATATCTTGCAGCATGCTGAAAATCTGCAAGCCCATTTTTGAATTCTAGAGTTCAACCGATTCCAACTGAGTTCCAATCTGTCCTATACGACTGTCCATCAGCTGCAAACGGCTGTCCATATCCTCTTGCATTTCCTCGGAATCTTTAAGTTTCGCTTTCAATACCTGTATTTGCAGATGCAAAAGTTCATTCTCCTTTCCTTCCTTTGGTGCCGGTACAATCTTTCTTCTCTCAACCATTTTTCCAAAATATCAGGCAACCACAGTAGTAAAAAAAATATCGGCAATTATTTGTCCAATATTATCCGTCACAGACTAGCCTACCTAATCGGCTTAGTCTTAATATATATGTGGCGTACCAAAATTGATATCACCACTCAGGTTCTTTCTGCCAGCTTCTTGGACGCTGTAATTCCTTTAGATGTCGATCACAAAATAATCTTCTTGCGAATCCAAATACAGCAGAGTAACTAAGTTAACTAATTAGATTAATTATACACCTGTAAGAACTTAATACAACCAAATACTCCAATAAGAAATACAATAAAAATAAACAAATAAAAAACACAGTAGGATACATACGAAACAAAAGATACGGAATTGGTTTATGACGTCACAATCATGAACTATTTACTTATAATGGGATACAAAAATCGGGTAAAACATACCTAGATATACATAAGAATAACTAGTATGACACTAAAGATACAACACAAATCCTATCTCATCGACAAACACGTAATATACATGGAAATACGCATAGAAATACGGAAATCACACAGGAAATAAACTGCGAAAATAGACTAGTTGCGGAAGTGTTAAATTCAATCTAACTAGTGAACAGAACCATGCCAAACTGGAGAAAGTAAACCTGTACTACTAATATCATTTTACAACAATAATTACACAGATTAACGGCAATAAAACGCTATAATAATGACCTAATACACAGAGAAATATCTACACCGCCGGCAGTCTGACAAACCAGCTGAAAGAGAAAGTTACACAGCTGCTCACTAGGACTCAAGTGGTGAGAATAAATATGGGCAAACGGAATAAAACAGGGTTATAGACGTGGTCGTCTCAATAGTAAAAAATGTTTCCAACCTGGCATTGTGGCAAAATTGCGTTTCTGGTAAAAGTTCTGTAAGCCTTTCTGCTATAGCACTACATGGTAATACTTGCAGAGACTTCTATTCAATGTTGATATTTTCATCTGTTCTGTTTAGATTTTTCTAGTTTTTGGAATTTTCAAGTTTTATTATTCCAACTAGCATGTGCCGAGGTGTTGAAGCGTTCATTTTGGAAAGTGATGCATCTTTTTTATATTGCTAACATATTCGAACTCGCGAAAGTACGGAGGGAACACGTTGGGATTTCAACTTATGCACATTCAAAGTACAAGAACATTCAAATTTGAACAATCACTGATTTCAAGAATAGGTGTTGACAGTTCTATCAACAACTTGAAATTCAAGCAAATCTGAGACATTATTAAAAATACATTTCATAACAACAGATTCAACTAGACTTACCAATAATGCAGATTTCTTTGATAAATATTTTCATGAGGTTTGACACGATTGAATTTACATAATGACAAGACATTGCATTTAGCACCCGTGTCAATGTTGAGTTTGACATGGTTGTTATTCACATATAACCCAGTATTCTCAATTGAATTAACACAATCAAATGAACCCACATATATGTTACTAGCATTATACATATCATTAATTTCATGCACTGGGGTCTGGTTTTCATTGTCATGAACATCATATGAAGGTCTGACGTTCTTTCGATTGAGCACTTAAACACATTCTTTGAAAATGATTCATTTTGTGACAAAATAATATTTCTTGTCAAATGTTGGAAAATAGTCACGAGATTCAGCATGACATAAACCACAATGCTGGCAAACAGAATGAAATTTTGACACACGCTTAAAATGACCAGTAGGCTTTTGAAATTTGTCATTATTTACACGAAATATTTTACTATTCAATGCGAACTTGTTAAATCTACATCCCGGACTATAACGTGTGAATTTTTCATGATGAGATACAGAATAAACTTCTCTCGTTGCAGTTACAGATTCAGTGAGTTCATGTATCACACATACATCAATAGCATTTTCAATGCAAGATTGGTTTCTTTTAGCAATTGTGTTCGCAGGTTATCATTAGAAACACCAGTCGAAATTCGATCTTTAATCAACTCATCTTTGAGATCACCAAATTCACAAGGCGTGACTTTATCTTTCAAGTCTACAACAAATGATTGAATAGGTTTACCTGGCACCTGTGCTCTTATGTTGAAATGATGTCTTGTTATCCTTGACTTGACTCCTTATTGATTTGGAATTTTAGCACATTTTCTATTCAGGCTTTCTGGACTCGGCACAAGACTCGGCAAGAATGTCACTCTCAACTGCCTCATATGTAAAAGATTCGGGTCTCGTACCAAAGCAAAGTAATTTTTTTTTTTCGATTTTCCATTACAACAAAACAGAGAAGCAATACATGACAAAACAAACAAATACACGGAAAATCGGCAAAATCTAAAAAGATCTATGACGTGCTGATGCACTTACCCCAAACAGCACATTGGGGTAAATTTTGAAAAAATACACGAAGGCAAATCCGGGTGTAAATACTTGGATGTGAAGTTTGAAATACAATTTCTACTTTATATATCGTATACTGGAAAATAACGATTGGTATAGCGTACAACAAACAAACAAGCGGTGCACAACATGTGATAATTATTGTGTGATTCTGAACAAAGTAAAATATAACAAGAGCATTCCATGCACTGGTGTTGAAACTTCAGTAATTATCAAATCCGTGTGCTTTGTGAATATGTGCTATTCAACGGTCTTTTTATGAAATCTATTATCAAATATACATTACATCTGTCATTTGACTGTTCATGTTATCATCAGGTTCGATCAGTTTTCCGCTAATGAGCTGAATGTCTTGTACGTTCGTTGAGTGTTTATCCCTTTAATATAGGCCTACCATTATCCGCAATACCTTTCTGTTAATTTTTTTATTCTCTCTACATCTTGTGAATGTTCTGTTTCATACTACAGTCGGACTTGACCATCAATGATTGTCAACACCATTTTTCTTTCCATCCCAGTGTTACATGTTCCCTAACCCTAACCATAATAACTTCTAGAAAGCCTGACGCAATTTTTTTTTATATGTTATTCCTAAAGCCCGCCTAACTACGTCATTCAAAAATTACGCCACAGTCTCGTAATAAAGCCCACAAAAATATACGGATGGTCGTCAAAATCGCCAATGAACCGAAGTCGAGCAAGCTACTTCTCGCCGTAACGATCCCGAAATGAGGAAGGATCGCTGGCGTTAGTAATAGATAGATAATGATTTATTTCCGATACAAGTACATAATACAGTAATCATAAGCAAACAACAATAAGCATAAAAATATATACGAAAGGGGACGGGCACAACTTCCAAGATCAACAAGGTCGACCGACCCCTAAGGAGAGGTTCTACCAGGACAGGACACTCTAAGCAGGCATCATAATTGCAATAGAGAAGAAAATAATTTTTTGAGTTTTAAGCCCGCTTTAAGAGGCCTCAGAAATCAATTCCCTAAAAGTACTGGAATAAGAATAAAAATTACAAGGAACAAGAAAAGGGAACATCACATAATTACGCAGATCATAATGTTTTTTAATAGTAATAAAAAAAAGGGAAAAAAAGAGAAAGAATAAAAAGGGCGTAGAGCTAATTATAATTTCCTCAAATTAAGTTTACTTTGTGTTAGACAAGAATCAAATCGTGACAATGAGGCAATTTCTATGAATGAGTGAAAAATTAAAAATACCATATTTCCAAAGCTATATAGTACATATAAATACTTCAGACTATATATAGCCTAATACCATCTTCAATAATTTTCACAGAGACATATGAATATCCATCTATAAAATGGTGAATCATATCCATTTTGTGAATCTGATAGCATACACGGAGATTTGCACGTTATTGCATCACATTATAATCCGCTAATAAATAAAATTTTAGTTTGCGATCAAATAATTTTGGGGAACAATGTTTCATACTCTGTGGAATACTTTGCCATACATTAATGCCTTCCAGTTTAAGCGATTTCCACATGGCTGATGATTGATATCGCGGGGTGAAATACAATTTGTTTGATGTCCTTCTCGTCTCGTACGGATGGATATCTGAAATCTTGACAAAAAAGTCTTGAAAATACTCTGGCAGCAGCAAATTTTCATAACGATACATAAATTTTCCTACTTTACTTATGTAGATTTCTTTCAATTGTGTGGAGGCGGGAGTGAGGGGAGGCGGACAACTCGACTACACGAACACGGACGGTTAGTGAGTTCGTTATCGTCGACGCAGCTGCGTCCTATTTCGCCATCGCAATAATACCGGTACCGGTAATCTTTCACGCTACCACCAGAATATATGGGAAAATCTGTACCGGTATATTTATACATCGGCACCTATTTCTGTATTTTGATTTGGCTGGTACAGGTACGGTACCGTACATGGGTCAGACGGGTCTTTACAACAGTTCTTGTGGAACCAATGTGTTTCGCTGCAGCTTTCGCAACCGACCCATTCATCCTCAATTTCCGTACTTCCATTTGGATCATTCCATAATCCACAAGCAGAGCAGGTTTCGTCTTGATTATCACTTTTCTGATTTTCTCAGAGCTCCCCGTTGATCGGCTCGGCAGAGGTTCCTGCCCGGTGTGACTTTCGATCCTCGCTTTCGTTTCACTTGACTTGTGCTTGTTGAATGTATAGATTTTAAATAGGTAATGAGAGTAGACGTAGCCTGGTCGTTCATTTCTTGTCTATTGACGTCTGAGGAATGAATTCGTGAGGTGGTAGTTTAGACAGCACCGCAGTGGGGTTAAACGGGTGGATCCCACAAACTCGGAATCCCGATTTCAGATTTTGGGCAGATGTTTCGGCCGATTTTTGAAAAAGTTTTTTTAATAACAAAGGGAAATGTTCTTTCGGGAAACCACGAATTCGTGATTCTGCTCTCCAGTCGGCTACTATTTTTCGCCACTTTGCTTTGAGTGGGGAAAAAATGAACAATCGAGAGGCTGGAGTATATGAGTGCTGTTGGGTGGCAGGCACGTAAAATAAACATTGTGTTCATCCGCTAATTCAACAACCTCCATGGTTAAGTGCGATGACAAATTATCACCTGCGAGCATTTTGTCGCCGTCTAGTTTGCCACAATACGGGAGAAATACCGTACCTCTTTGAACCAGCGGATGAAGGTTCTGGTGTCAAACCATCCGCTGGGTGTTGCGTCGTATATTGTCCCTTCAGGCCCATCGGTGGTCCAATACTCGTAGATGTTTAGCGCGGAATAGACAACCATAGGGGGCAAAAGGCTTCCAGCGGCAGATCCTCAAAACATGATAGATATCGAGCTTTTTGAGATATCTTGAATCATCTCAACTCTATTTGTACCGGTTGGAACTATTGAAAGTTTTCTGCCCGGATCGTCACAAAGATTCGTTTCATCGTAGTTGAAGATGTTCGTTGCAGGTAAACGCGTCGCTATTTCTTTAATCTCGTTGAAGTAATTCACTATTTCCTCTGACCCCACGGCTGCACGTGCTCTTTTAATGTTTGAGGCAACTCTCTTGGATAACCGCTGTCTTTTGCAAAAATTATCCACCCACATCGGGCCGGGTTTGTTGTTGGGGAACGTAGGAGAGCTTATTCCCATTGCATCCAAATAATTTTTGACAATGTTGCACATGTCCTCCGGTCCAATGGGATATCCCCAACGTGCAATGATTTCGAGGCTATTAGCAAATCGCTTCTCCTCTTCATTGGTTAAACCAGTCGGGCGACCAATACTTTTAGTGTGAGTCTTCTTCATTTTGTCGTATAATGTCGACCTTTTCAGGGCATTGCGTTTAGCTGCTTTCGCATACGACATCCCTGCTCTAACATCAGCCATAGCCGTTTGCAAGTCCTCGCTATTGCTGACCGGTATATTTGGCCTGGCCCAACAATTTTTGCATATGCTTATGTAATTTCTAACCTCCACATGACTGCGTCATCCGGAAATTACATCACTGCGTCACAATCGCGTCATAGAGCTTGCTAAAGTATAGTTACGATCGTCCGAAATGGCATCTGTGCAGCGATCTCTCTTTTATCGGTACCGGTATCGTTTCGATGACAGGAAATAGCTTGCTCGACTTTGGATGATTGTCTGTGCAACCATTCGTATACTTTGAAGGGCCGTATTACGTCATTGCGACTTCGCAGTGATGTAATTTCCGGATGACGTAGTCATCTGAGGGTTAGAAATTACATATGCAAAAATTGTTGAGCCAGGCCAACTATAAGTACTTGCGGCGCGTACTTCAGGAGACCCCAAAATTGAGCTAGGCTAACTAGAAGTACATGTGGTACCGGTACTAAATTATACCAGACCCAGTGTTTACTTCTGTACTTGTACTCAATTTAAGTATTTTCACATAGAACAGTAGTACTCCATTGGCGATGGGCCGTAGAGGAGTCAACACTTCCTCTCTACTTCGCTGACTTGAAATATGAAATAAAAATAAAATTTTATTCAGTCTGATCTATTTACTAAATTAGGCATATGTTTTTTCATATCCAGATATCAGAAAGTACAGAAGTACGGTACCTTTGCCTGTATGCTAGCAATATTATATAAATAAGATCATAAGGTGTTGCTGTATTGTAATCATCATCATGAAGACCCGTTTTACGACTCTTGATATATCTGCTGTGTTGACTGAAATCAATGCCAAGTTGGTAGGAATGAGACTGGCAAATGTGTATGATATCAACAACAAAACCTATCTGCTAAAACTGGCAAAGCCTGATTTTAAGGCTATATTGCTAATGGAATCAGGCATACGTCTTCATATTTCTGAATTTGATTGGCCGAAAAATATGATGCCTTCTGGATTTTCAATGAAAATGCGAAAACATCTTAAAGGGAGACGACTGATTTATGCAAAACAACTTGGAGTGGACAGAATAGTTGATATGCAATTTGGTACAGATGATGCAGCTTTTCATATAATTTTAGAATTATACGACAGAGGAAATATAATTCTCACAGACCATCAATATGCTATTTTAAATATTTTACGATTCCGTAAAGATAAAGCAGTATCATCAAATGAGGGGAATGCAGATGAGAATTCAGATGTTCGTATTGCAGTAAATGAAACTTACCCATGTGATTCTGCAAAACAGCGCAAAAATTTTTCTGAAATCAAGTTGAAACTAGAGGAAGTACTAAAACAAGCTAAGAATGATGATGTTTTGAAAAGGATATTAAATCCTCATTTACCATATGGAACAGCGTGTATTGAACATTGTCTTCTAAAATCAGGATTCCCCATCAATGCTAAATTCGGTAAAGAGTTTAATATTGAAAATGACCTGGAATGTTTGTTTACTGGAATATATCATGGTGAGGAACTACTTGACACATTAATGAAAGATTGTTCTAATGGATGGATTGTGCAGAAGTCGGAGAAAAAATCTGATGGAACAATCGTATTAACGAATACTGAATTTCATCCGTTTCTATTCGAACAACATAAAACTTCTCCAAACGTTAAATATGAATCTTTCAACAAATCCGTTGATGAATTTTTTGGGAGTTTAGAATCACAAAAAGCTGATATGAAAATTTTGCAACAGGAGAAATCAGCAAATAAGAAACTTGATAATATCAGGAAAGATCATGAGCAGAGACTCTCAAACCTCGATAAAGAACAAGAAACTGATCTTCATAAAGCACAATTAATTGAAGAAAATTTGACTTTAGTCGATCAAGCTATTCACGTTGTTCGAACTGCTATCGCTAATCAAATTGACTGGGCAGAAATAAGCAGTTTAATTAAAGATGCACAAATAAATGAAGATCCTGTAGCAATGTCAATCATGAAACTCAATTTAAAGAGCAATGAATTTACAATGGCTCTAAATGAAGCGTTAGATGATTCTGAAAGTGAGGAAGCCTCTTCTGACGAAGATATTAAAAAATCTAAAAAGAAAAAGCGAAAACCTGTTAAAGTTGACATTGATATCGGCCTTTCGGCTTACAGTAATGCAAAAAAATATTACAACAAAAAGAGACAGGCTTCATCGAAGCAACAAAAAATCATTGATGCTTCTGGAAAAGCCCTTAAGTCGGCTGAAAAGAAGACAAAGTTGTCTCTAAAAGAAGCTGCTGTTGTTCATAGCATTCAAAAAGCAAGAAAAACTTTTTGGTTTGAAAAATTCTTATGGTTTATATCATCAGAAAATTTTCTTGTGATAGGAGGAAGAGACGCTCAGCAAAATGAAATACTTGTGAAAAGATATCTTACCGGCAACGATTTATATGTTCACGCAGATCTTCATGGGGCTACCAGTTGCATAATTAAAAATCCAACAAGTGCTGATGTGCCTCCAAAAACTCTCAACGAGGCTGGTACAATGGCTATTTGCCACAGTGCTGCGTGGAATGCAAAAGTTGTAACGAGTGCATGGTGGGTACACAGTCACCAGGTATCCAAAACAGCACCAAGCGGAGAATATCTAACAACTGGTAGTTTTCTTATTCGTGGAAAAAAGAATTACCTGCCCCCTTCGTATTTGGTATATGGATTTGGTTTGGTATTTAAAGTGGAGGAAACTTGTATTCACAAACATAAAGATGAAAGGAAAGTCTCTGAGCTTCAATCATTCAATGGTCAAGATATACCTGATTCCACTGCAACTGAATCGATAAGCAGCGAATTGGAAAGCGAACTAACTATAGATTCGGATACAGAGGGTAGTGATTCTGAACATGAAACAAATAGTTCTGCTGTACCAGCTATTAAAGACGAGACCAAAAGCGACACAGCTGATAATGAGTCACAACTTGGAACTGATGGCGCTGTTATGATGAATAAAAAGCCAACTGACATACAATTTCCAGATACAAACATTCAAATAAAATACGCAATTGGAACAAATTCGGCTGATGAAGAAGAAAATCCTGATATTGTATATCTTGGTGATGAAGAACCGGTTCTTGTGAAACAAAACAACCCAACTAGCAAACCTAGAATATCTGCAAAACAAAGAAGAGATGCAAAAAAGAAAAATCAACCGAATTCCTCAGGTGATCTCGCTGAAAATGATGTGATTCCACCAAAAAATAAAGATTCACCAAATCCGGTCTTGGTGAATGAAAATCCTCAACAGCATCCTGCAAAAAGAGGACAAAGAAATAAAATGAAAAAATTGAAAAGCAAGTACAAAGATCAAGATGAGGAAGAAAGATTATTAAAAATGGAATTGTTGCAACAGTCTCAGAGTCAAAAAGCAAGAGATAGAAAAGCCAAAAAGGCCAAGTCAGTGGCACCTCAGCAAAAAGAAACAAAAGTTCAAAAACAGCCACGTCCTAAACCTGTGAAGTCACAAGAAAATGAATACGATTCTGACGAGGAGAGAAACAAAGTATTGGAAAATGAACATTTATCAGAAGAAAGTATCGGAATTTTGAACTCTTTAACTGGTTGCCCTTTTCCTGATGATATTTTAATGTTTGCGCTGCCAGTGTGTGCACCATATAACACTATGCATAATTATAAGTTTAAAGTTAAACTTACTCCCGGTAATACAAAGAAGGGAAAAGGTGCCAAAACTGCCCTAAACTTGTTTCAGAATATGCGTGATACTACAGCCCAAGAAAAAGATCATTTGCGCAGTATTAAAGATCATGATTTAGCTCATAATATTCCGGGTAAAATAAAAGTTTCATCAACTCATTTGCAACTCCAGAAAAAGAAGAAATGAATGGGTAGTTAGAGATGGGTTTTATGCAAAAATAAGGTGATATAGTATGTTTATTTTGTTTAACCTCAAAGCCAGGCGTAGCGTACTGTTTGGGGAAGTCCAAATTTGTTGTAAAACTCAGTAATAGTTGCAATTTTGCAGATGACTTTCATAAAACAGTCACATTTTCTAAGCTTGATCTTATGAATGTATGAGAAAATCTGACATTTTTGAAATTGTATCACATTAGTTTGCACACATCTGCAAATGCTAGTAGTGGTTGTGGTAAAAATTCAATCTCTGATTACTTTCAAAAATATTAAATAGTACTATTTTACTTCATGTTAATACTGTGTGTCCTAATCTACCCTATAAATTTTGATAAAATGAGTAATTTCACCAGAAAATGATTCACTCAGCAGAAAAAAGTTATTTTGGTTATCTGACTTCTGAACATAAATTTTAGAGTATTATTTTAGGTTTCTCCAAAGAAAAAAAAAAGTGCATTATGATCTGTTAGCCTATTTCATTTTCCAATAATAATTTTTACAATGGGTTTCCCTATTGAAGTATTTACCCAGTACCAAACGTGACCAGTGCTCGCGACTGTATTCAAATCATTGCGAATGCTATGTAGATTTACAAGTCCCCCAAATTCATTTTCTAACTTATGTGAAATTGGAGGAAATTTTATTCACGAGTATTGGAAGTATTTATTCTGTAAAGTAATTGGCCAATCTGGTTAAAGATGATATTATCGAGAGTTTTGCGAACTTATTTTATGTGCAAAATGTTCAAAGTAATTAAAGTTTCTGTCAATTTAATAGTGGTGGAATGGAAAGCAAGTCATTTTTTTTTAATTAGGATGAAAGAGAAAATCTGACAAAGCTATAACTATTTTTAGCTTTGCCATAGCGCAAAATTTACAGTACATGAAGTTAGGCTTGTGAGAATACTTTTGTGCAGGAAGAAATAAAGTTCAGTGGGCGAAAACTACATTCCTGCAAAAAGATTCGAAAAACGAGGGGTTGAGGACAAAAATGCTTGCTAAACATTTTCTTAGACCGGAGTATACCCTCCCACACTCACACTGACGTATGTTTCTTTACAAAGCTATGTGCGCCTTATTCAGCGCTCTTTCAGTGTATTCGTGAGAGATTCACTGATACCAGGCGTTTTTTGTCCTGTTATTATTATCACCCTTCCTTCGACCGAGATGGATAAAATTGCCCGCTTGGATAATTCAGCGAATTAAGTGGAGAGCTTCTTAATTAAAGACGTTAGTGACTGCTTGTACCTGACCTTTCTCGGAGTGTCGTATTAAAAAAAATCTGAGCCACGCTTATGTCCTAGTGTGGTACATAGGCTTTCTTGGAAATTAACATAAAGCGCCTGGGGCATTTGATGGATGAACAGGTTTGCGCGTTATCATGTATAAGTAAGTCTAGTTAGATCTCAAGGTGATGATGTGCGTTAGTAAATGCAGAAATATTAGGCGTATTCGCAACAAGATAACGCTGCTGGGATTCGCCGCCGTAGCTTTTTGCTTGGCAGTTATAGTTACCAGAAGCAGAATTCATACTCTTGAATTGGAAAAGGATTCTGTCTACGATATTATCAAAAGTTAGTACTTTTAAATTTTCTGTGCACAAATAAGATCTCTTCATTTGCTAGGATAACGCCAAGAAGAAATTTATAAAATGTTTGTTGTGGTATATTTATATATATCGTCGTCAAAAATATCAGTACCGGCGGATTTAAATCATTGCTTTGGAGATGGACGAGCAATAGGCAGACGTTTCAAAACCCAATAATAGGGTAGACTACACAATAAATTTAATATACTGGGATCACATTTGACAAGCCCTATCTCCAACTCACTTTTTCGCATTCTATTAACGCAGATTGATTCTGTCACATTCTAAATCTCAGCATATCTTATCTGAATATAAGATTTTAGGCCGTTTCAGAAGGTGTCTTCATTATAAAAAAAAAAAACTGTGATTAACATATTTTCTCAAAACTCTCCGAGTATTCTATAATGCTTTTTATCACAAACTATTCTTTTCTCTGGAATTGTTTCATGAACGATATGTTCCAAAAATTAAATGAGTGTAATTTTTAAACTATGACAATACCGGTAATTCAGGGTGTCTCAAAAGTAAGTATACGGTACATTTTTAATTTTGATTTGCTTTCCAGGTACTCATCATAGAGCGTCCACTTCTTCAGGGAACATAGTATGGATAAGTAGTAATATTCAGGTATGGTTTGCATTTTTCAACAACCCACAGAATGACTAGGAGATTAACCCGAGAAATGGGGCAAAAAATTGCTGTTTGGCAAGATGCATATAAAACAGTGAGGCATACGGCACTTTTTCGACAAGGAATTGCGTAAATCATGGAAACTGGATCTGTAGATGATGCACAAGAATCAGTAAGACCAAGGAGCGGACGCTCAGAGAAAAAACATTCGAATCTGAATTATTTTCAAATTCTCTGTTAAAAAGGCGCTAAGTTTGTCTTACTGATTTACATGCTTCTTGCCAATCAGCAAATTGCTCATCATTTTTTTGGTCAATCTCCTTGTCATTCTGTGGGATGTTGGAAAATGAAAACAATACCTTAATTTTACTAGTTATCCATGCTATGTTTCCTGAAGAAAGGAACGCTCTATGATGAGTACCTGAGAAGCAAATCAAGATTAAAATTGTATACTTACTTTTGAGACACCCTGAATATATATATAAATCTTGACCAAGTCTTTTCCATTTTCAGGTGAAGAATTGAGGCATAAAACACTCGCAAGAATTCGACCTGAAATCAAGTATGATTTTTTAAATCACTTTGACCACGGAATTCATCCATCAAGAGTTGTCATCATTCTCGCTACCAAGAGGTCTGGCTCCACGCTACTAGGAGAATTTTTCAATCAAAATAGAGGATGCTTTTATTTGTTTGAGCCATTATTCCCGTTCACGCGCTACTGTAATGTTCTTCGCTATGAACGTGTGTTGTTTTTGGAACGACTTTCAAAATGCAATTTTACAGGATTATCTTCTCATTATGCTAACGCTTTTCGCGTCACTCAACACACTGACGAACATTCAAAGTGTTTGAAACAAAACATATGCTTTAGTCAAAGGAACATGAAGGTCCTGTATCGTTATTCTGCTGCTTGTGGGTCTAAAAATATAGACGTGCAATTCGATAAAATTGCTCGCTTTGTTCCGGAGTCACCATGCGGATATCCTCTAAATGTTAGCATTTTATCGTCCTTGTGTTCCTCAGCTGAACTTGTCGCTTACAAAATTATAAGAGTATGCGATATGAAAGCCTTGGATACACTCGTTAGAAGATCTGACGTAACAATGATTTATCTCGTCCGTGATCCTCGAGCGACTATTGCATCCCGGCTTCAATTAGAGAATGATGAATTGACAAATGACACATTTGAATTTGGGGTTAAAAAACTGTGTACGGAAATTTCAGAAAACCTCTATTACTCTAGTATTTTGGGAAATAATACAGGTAAATCGGAATGATCTAAATGTTTTTGATCAGAACCACTAATAGGTACACAAGTTACAGAATATCCAATTAATAAAACCGCATTGTTTCTAAAATGGGAACAATTATCAGCGTTTTCATTCAATTAATTAATTTCTTAGTATCAATACTTGAATTAACATTATCCAAAAATCATTCATTCCGATTATATTCGGAAAGGTACAACAATTATTGTTTTTTTGTAAAAATCAGATGAAAGGAGATATATTTTTGATCGACATTAGAATATTCTAGTGACATGTAAATACCTTTCAGGATTTATTCTAGTGAGATATGAAGACATCGTGACGGAACCCCTCAAAAATGCTTACAGAATTTACAGGTTTGATACATTGCTATAGATATATTCATATTTACTTCCTAATATTTTCTCTCACCTTTTCATTAATAAACTTCAGCTTTGCACACATATCCATTCCAAATGTATTATCATGTATGTTCACATTCCTGTCTAGCAAAAAAATCAAAACAGTCTACTACATTAGCGTGGAGTAAGATCTACGAACGAACGAATGACTCATTTATTTATATATATACAATTGTCTTAAAATTTTTACAACAAATAATTTAGGCTTATTGGTCGAGAACTTCCGACATCAGTCAAGTTATGGATTACAACTTCCTTCCTAGGAACCGCAAAGAAACATAAGGTATACTTAAAATTTAATCATAAAACATGGAGTTGAAAAATATGGAAGTCAAACAATATATACCGGTACATGTTTTTCAGGCGTCCGATGATCCTTACAGCACTGTGAAGTTTGGACTGCAATCTTTAAATTCGTGGAGGCAAATATTATCTTTACAACAGACAGTATTAATACAAAAGTATTGCTCTAGTGCTATGAAAGTCCTTGGCTATACATTCGTTAACTCATATCAGGAACAGCACAATTGGAGTCGAACTTTATGGAAATCATAATGATTGCTGCTTGTAGGAACTTTGAGATCTTGAAAGATGTTTTACAACATCAATTTTTTCTCTCAATGTTTGTTGTAAAAGTTAAAAAGCATCAAATTGCTAAATCATATGTGATTTTGCGTGATACATTCTGCCAAGCCTTTTCAAACAGTATTTTTATTATTTTTTTTCACTGTTACTATTTTACATTGTTATTTTAAGTTTCAAAATTGAAATTGTATATTTTTAATACTGATATATTTCGATTGTATATTTTTAATGCTGATATATTTCGTTATGATTAAAATTCGACACGTACTTATGTAGGCAAATGCCGTTGTTATATAAACACAGTTTGCTCGTCAGCGCTATTTTCTTCAATCCAATATTTGTTGATATTTTTTTGATTTCTCTGCGGAATGGCGACAAATACTAGGTAGAATAAGACATTTACTTGGTAATTGCAGTAATATTTATATTGATATTGTATAAAAATTTGTGCTAAATCATGTCTTGTACTGGCTGTGACTGTGATGCATACAATGTACAATGTGATTTCTCAATGACAATAAGTAGTGTCTTGTGGTGTTTTTCATAACCTTTCTCGCTAGACATCAGTTTTTAATGAATGCCCACTCATTTTTTATTATTGCAGTTGGTTTCGGTTTTTATATGAAGAGAACATCATTGAATCATATTCAAGTACAAGCACAATATAACAAATCAATTTCTAGAAATGTCTGATCGCACTCCGCGACATCTTCAAGTGAAGTCATAGCAATGATACGATATTTAGTAAGATGGCGCCAACGATGAGAAAGCTACGTCGAGTTATCGGCGCCATTTGCGGACATTTTAAATAACGTCGTGGTCGATAGAGCGTAAACGGCTTCCACTCGCTCCTATCGTGGAAATGGCTGCGCTTCGAGGTAACATGAGAACCTCAATAAATAAGGTTTAAAAGAGTTGGGTTTGCTATTGGGGCGATCGGTAAGAACAAAGGGTAGATAGTTCGCTATTTGATTAAGTATTCGCTGTATAATTAAGATTCTAGATATAAATTATATAAATAGTATCTAAATTGAAACTTGAATAAAATCACTGAGAGTAAAACGGCATGTCTGAAGATGTCGCTTTACTCTGAAATATTGAAGGAAAACCGTAGAAGGGATGAAGAGGAGAGAGGCACACTAGATAGATCGAAATGTATGGCACTGAAATTTAATGATGAAAAAGTGATCAGAAGAGAAGATATTTGGGAATTTTTTAGGAAACTTGATGTAGTGTTTGACACAGTGGATGGATTTGTTATTACATCCAGATACACTGTTGATTTAACGTTTAAAACAAGAACAACAGCTATTGATGTAGACAAGAAACTTTGGGAGTTAAAAAAAGTAGGTGCTGAAACTCTACCTTTTCATAGGCTCTATGTACCTGAAAATGTGGCAGTATTTGTGCACAATGTACCATGTCCGATGAAAAATAAAGAAGTCAAAGAACATTTTGAAGAACATCATGGATCAGTAGGAGAACCACTTATATTGAAAGACAGATTTAATATGAAAAATGGCATAAGAAGATTTTTTATAAAAAAAGATGATCTAATGAAAAAACCTATTAAAAGCTATGTGAAAATAAAAGGTCATTCACTCTTTGTCAAATATTGGGGCCAGACTCCAACTTGTCGTATATGTGGTAAAATTGGACACATAAAAAATGAATGCGAAAACTTCATTCCGAAATTTGACAGATATAAAAACACAGGACAAAGACCACTAAATCCAGGACAGAATGAAATTGACGAAAAGGAAAAAGGAACAGAAAAAGTTACTCAACAAACACGAAAAGAGAAAATTATTTTGACAGAAGATAATAATATTAATAGAGAACAGCAACCAAATGAAAACCCAACCCAAAGCACACCTGCCAATGAAATAAGTGAAGATCATACACCGGAAACTCAAACAAGACCATACTTACAACCACAAATGTTTGGTAATCTTTCAGATATCAGTGACGAAAATGATGAGATGATTGACTTGAATAATGAAGAAGAGATGAACTCCAAAACAACAACGCAATCCAGTACATCAGAAAAAACAGTCTTATACGTAGGAACAACCGCACAGCAACAAGAGAATGACTCAACACAAGAGATATCGGCTAACACCTCTACAAATGTAAGATCGCCATCCAGAAAAAAGAAAAAAACAAAAAAACAAATAACCATGACGTTAAAAGAGGCCAATGAATACCTGAAAAGCATGAGTGAATAAAGTTTCTGATAAATCCTCATTTACTCAACTAATATACACTAAAAATTAAAAATAAAACCCTTAGTCTTACAATGGTACTTTATTTAACAATTCTTACGTTAAATGTAAATGGACTCAGAGACAATTTGAAACGCAGAGATGTTTTTCTTGAACTATCTATGAAAAAGGCAGATGTAATATTTCTTCAAGAAACGCATTGTACTGCAGATGTTGAACTAAAATGGAGTAGAGAATGGAAATATGGAAATAGCATATGGAATAATGGTGATTCAAACTCAAAAGGTGTTGCCATATTACTAAAGTCAAAGCTAGCAAGTTTTTCATTTTATAATATCCTATTTGATAAAGATGGAAGAGTTCTCACTTCAGATATAAATATTCATGGAGAAAAGATTCATTTAGTGAATATATATGCTCCCTGTCGGACAAACAATTTAAAACAGGAAAATTTTTATAATAACATCTATAGATTCTTATATTCTCGACATATAGTAATTTTAGGCGGTGATATGAACTGTGTGCACGACATAGACAAAGATCGAACAATAGACAACAAAAGAGCTAAAAAAGAATATGTGTCCGATGCTTTAAATGAGCTGATAAATACTTTTGATTTAGTTGACTCTGTGGAATTTTTACCTAATAGTAACCCCTTTTACACATGGAGAAATACAACTGTGCAAGCAAGACTGGATCGTATTTACTGTTCCCATAGATTGTGTAATGTAACCAATCTCTATTGTATTCCTACATATAACTCTGATCATGACATGTATTCCGTAGAAATCCAAATTTTCAGTAACCTTGAAGAGAAAGGAAACGGATATTGGAAAAACAATGTATCTGTTTATGACAACCAAAACTACCTTGAAGAACTCAAAAATAAGTGGAATAATTGGTGTTCATTAAAAATTTTATTTGTTACAAAAACTCAGTGGTGGAGCGAAATTAAGAAAAAGATCAAAGATTTGACTATCAAACACTCTATTAAAATGGCAAAAAAAGAAAAGGCAGATTATGATAAAGGAATGCAACAAATGGAAGAATTAAAAGAAAAATTAGATAAAGGTGAAAAGGTTTTAACTGCATTCAACAAATTAAAAAGAGAATTAATTTCAAAACAAAGACAAAAAAGTGAAAAAATAAGAATTTTAAACTTGGCGCACCATTACGATACACATGAGAAATGTAACAAGTATTTTTTCAGAAAGTTGAGAAAAAAGCACAAAGAATGTTACATAAACAAATTAAGAACCAAAGAAGGAGACATACAAGATGAATTAACAGAGAAAATGTATATAGTCAAGAATTTTTATCAAGATTTATACAAAAAGCAACACACCAACATATACACTCAGAATTATTTTATAACAGCTATTCCTGAATCCATAAAATTGCAAGAAGATGAAGCAGAAACCATACAAAGGCCGATAATTTTAAATGAAGTTCTGGAAACTATCAAAATTTTAAAAGAAGGCAAAACTCCAGGACCTGATGGGATAAGTGTAGAGTTCTACAAAAAATGCTGGGACATCATAAAATTTGATTTATTTGAGGTATTGGAAGAAATATATGAAAACTGCCTAATAACAAATGACATGAAAATTAGTTATACAACTCTTATACATAAAAAGGGAGAACTGGATAAAATTGAAAACTATAGACCAATAGCATTATTAAACAATGATTATAAAATCTTGACAAAGATGTTAGCAAATAGATTAAAAATGGTACTTCCTGACATTATTGACAGACACCAAACTGCTATTCCAGGACGAAGAATCTCTGATTCACTAAACCTGTTGAGAGATATATGCATTCAAGAACAGAATAAAGCTGGGGAATCTTCATTGTTATCATTAGATTTTAATAAGGCATTTGATAGTGTAGACTTGGATTATCTTTTTAAAGTACTTGGAAAATTTGGATTCAAAGAAAAGTTCATAAATGTAATTCGGACTTTGTACACAGATTCAAAAACCAGACTGTTGATAAATGGCTACTTAAGTGAAACTGTTAAACTTGAAAGAGGAGTTAGACAAGGAGATCCTTTAAGTTTATTCATGTTTACGCTGGCAATTGAACCTCTGCTCAATAAAATTATTACCCATAAAGATATCAATGGAATAAAGATTCCACAAAATAAGGAAATAAAACATATTAGTTACGCTGATGACATCACATTGACTTTACGTAACAAAAATTCTGTCTATACGGCAATGGATATGATAAACAGATTTCAAATAGCAACTGGGATGTCGTTAAACATTGGAAAAAGCAAACTTTTAATATTAGGAATATGGAATAACCCCAACTTTTTTGTAAAGATACCTATTGTAAACACATTGAATATACTTGGAGTAATATTTTCAAATTCGGACACATGTGAAGAAAACTGGCAAAAATGCTTGAATAAAGCCAGAACTACAATAACTGAGCTGCTGAATATTCCGTTATCATTAGATGGCAAATGTTTAATGATAAAACTGAAAATTTTACCTTTGTTTTTATTCTATGCAAAACTATACCCCATTCCATTGAATATTGCAAAACAGATAAATAAAAGTATAGAAAAGTTTGTTTTTGATGGAAAAAGTATATTGAAAATCGAAACACTGTGCAAAAATAAGGCATTTGGAGGTTATGATATAATTAATATACCTTTGTTTACCATGTGTTTATATATAATGACTGCTTTTGACTATTATTATGATAAAATCAATATTACTGCTGAGCAATATAGACCATCAGTTTTGAATTTTATTGAATATAATATTGGTCAACAACTTTGTTTATTTTTCAATTTACCTACGAATAATAGTGTAACTCATGTATTTTTTCCTCATAAATATTATGGAGCTTTAATTAATTTTATAAGACAACATAACATCACAGGGAATGATTTGAAACAAGGGAAGCATAGGCTACTTTATAATAAAATAGTGAACAACCTTAATGGGGGAAATAGAATTGTGTTTCTTCGAGATGGTACTTTAGAAGGGGCCTGCTCTAATATTCATAGTAAAATATTGTCCAATGGTGTAAAATCTTTTAATTATAAATTAATGTGGGATGTTCTTCCTCTTAAAGTAAAACCCAGAATCAGACATGTTGCTGGCAATGAATTATGTGTGTTTTGTTCACAAGAGCCTGAGTTTGTTTCACACATATTTTGGAACTGTCCATTCACACAAGATGTGTATGATTATGTTTATTCTATTGCCTTAAAAATCAATTATTGTGTTTTGAGAAATAATTATATTACGTGTATTTTATTAGATTTGAATCAACAATGTTATTCACAATTGTCAAACTTGGAACGTAATGCCATTATACTATTATTTTGTACTGCCAGACATAAAATTTGGTTGGAGAGAAACTTAGTCATTTTCCAAAATGTTAATCCTAATGTCAACAATGTGATAATGAAAATTAAGAACTCCCTCATAGCAAG